TGTTCGCCCCCCCCCCCCCCCCTCCCATACAAAGTAAGGAAGGAAGTCACTGCTCTCTGTGGGAGATTTCCTGTCACTTCCTATTTTGGTGACATCATTTTCACTGGAAAAGGACCTGAGTGAAACATCTCGGAAGGAGAGACAGACAACAGCAAAGACTTAGCAGAGGTTCTAACCCTTCCCAAACCTATCCAGGACAAAAAAAGAGCACTTTTTAAAAAGTAAAATCAAATAAATGAAAAGGGCGGGCCAGGGACAGTCAGGCTGGGGAGGAAAAGGCTAGATGATGCTGGATGTCCTCCAGTCAGGAAATGAGGCAGGCTCTATCTGACTTGCTGCAGCTTCAAATGCACTCTTAGGCCTGGTTCACACATGGGCGTTTTGTAGCACATTTGAACGCTCTGCAAAACGCTCAAACACTGAAATCCCATTATTTCCTATGGGTATGGTTCACACCTGGGCGTATTACAGGCCGTATGAACGTGCTACAAAACGCCCTACGCCCAAAGAAGTACAGGAGCTTCTTTGGGACGTTTTTGTCGCGCGTTTCCATTGGGATAGAGCCAAGTAGCCCTCGGAAACGCGCGTTTGTCGCGTGTTTTTTAAAACCGCGAATCGCAGTAGAAACGCGCGACAACGCGCATATTCGATGCGCCTAGGTGTGAACCCAGCCTTAAGCTGCCCATACACCTTGTGATCATCGGACTAAACTTTTCGTCCGATGATTGAACCGTTGTACGGTGGCCCCATCCTGCCCCGATAATTGTGAGGCTGAATCAGCAGTAATTAAAAGAAAGCACCTGGACGAAATGCGGATATCGACCGCACTTATTTTTTCGTACGGTAAGTTTTCTAACCTGCTGGTTGTCAAAAGTCAATCGATTGTACAGTATTTACAGTTGTACACTGCCCATCAACCTTACGAATATCGGACGTAAACACGATCGATTGAAGGGAAGGCCGGAGTTCAGATGTAATTAAATTGTTATCACTAGCCGAATAGCTCTCATTGGACAGCTTCACTTTTCATTTCTGAATTGCTCACAAGGCTGATCAAATTTGCGTGCCTGCCCCTTTAAGTAACGGGATATTAAATTGACCTGGAGTGACGTCACCAACTCCGGGCACTCTATTAACCCAGCACGCCCACATCACGTGCTGCTAAACCGCCTGCTGTGGCGGCCATCTTTGTTGCTGGCAAAAATCGATCTATTCCTATTTTCCCCGTCCCGTTTCCACCTTAAAATGCTACAATTGATTTTAATAACTAACTCGCACATGTTCCCTTCGCGCCTGTTTATCTAGGAAACCAATGCTCCTTTCCTAGATAAACAGGCCAGTCTATGTAAAGTAACGGTACAGGAAAAAAAAATGACCCCAATGCTTCAGGCGCGCTTTGCAACACTAAAAATGCGTCCCTTGACACATATGATACAATTTCCAGAGGCGCCGCAAAAATCTAGCTCCCTAACTAGAAATGGCCGCCAGCCGGCTGCCGTTGCAGTCACATCTCATGGGCTCTTGCCTGATGACGTCACTGGTGCTTGCCGCAGCTACGCTAAGAATGCATCGAGATGCCCGATAGGCGAAGGGGTGTGGAGGTAGGCGTGGCCGACTGCGGGTCTGATTGGCCGGCTGAGGTGCGGCGTCAGTGAATGGCTGGGAGGAGGTTCTGTGGGTGAGGGGCGCTCTGATTCTTCTACTCACCGGAGCTGCCAGCGAAGGAGCGGGACGGAGGGGGGCAATGTATGACCGGAGCCGTCTGCCCTGAGACGGGGAGCGCTATGAGGTGAGGTGGGGCCCTGTCATTCTGCTGGGTTCGGCATCCAGGGGTCACCTTATCAGGTATCCTGGCTCATTATGCAGATTGCTGTAACCCATAGCAACCTATGTGGACTCCTCCCCCTGATTTCCCTGCTGCAACATTGAGTAAGGCCACAGGCAGAGTTTCACCTATCAGATAATCTTTTTGAGCATCCATATGATGAACCATGGTCATCATCATTGGTATTGTTCTCATCTTGAGGATGGCTGGATGGAGAGGTCACCTTATCCCATGATGGTGGTTGTGCAGGCCTATTCTGCAAAGTGCTGTCACCCATGGCAACGAATCAATCAATCTCCATGACTTTTCTATTTCCTAATAGAATGGAAAATATAGTCAAGAGACAGGTCACTGACAGGAATGTGAAGGCTTATTCTGTAACCCATAGCAACCGATCGACCCACCTGCCTGACATCTTTTGTAATGTTTTTACCTAGAGCCCTTCTCATCCAGGATTTCTATCGGTTGTGAGGGGTTCCATGACCTGTGGCTGACCTCTCACCTAATGGTGCTTGCATATTTCCAGGCCCAAGGCCACTTAGTAGAAAAAGTAACAAATGGTCAGGCTCCATTCACACAGGAGCGCTGGTCTGTGTTTACGCAGCTGTACGAATATGCGCC